GGCCTTGAATTAGTCATAGTGGTTTCACAATAATGGTAACTAAGAATAAGAAATTTCAACTTTCGGGGTAAGGAAATAGAAGTTTTGACAATTTTTAAGAACACTTAACTGCTGTAGCAGATATGAATTAGGAACCACACACTGTGTCATTCAAAACGTATACCACTTTTTTAAATGAAATCTAATTCTGTTTCCATTTTTCCAAATTTCTGGGTGAGAATTAATCTCCGTTTTTATTAGAGCTTTTCTCACACTGGGATTTGTAAAGCGAAATGTCTGGGAAGGTTGCTTTACTGTTCGCTTGAAATGGTTACCCTTGATGTGACTGTGTCATTGTCCAACCCCTCAGCCCCTTTGAAGCCTGGCCGTTTGGGCCCAAGAATGTTTGCTGAGACTGGGAGCTCTTTGGTTCAGGGTGGCCTCACATAGTCATTTAACTCAGAGGTCCTATCTTTCCCCCGGGTGCAGTGAGGGAGAGGACCCCAGATGCCCACTATCTCGGGTCACACAAACCTCCACCCACCTCCTGGTTTTGGATTCTCCCTGCCAGCTGGGCTTCCACTCTTCCCTCCCTGCAAAAGACTTCTTTCTTCTCTTCATGCTCAGATAGGCAGGGCTTTCACATAGTTATCTTTAGGCAACCTCTACTTCTGACCTTGAAAATTCTTTTAAAGCCAAAGAACACAAGGTCCTGGCTACACTTTGAAACAGGGAAGGGAAAAACAAGGGATCGGAATCAGCACAGATCACATTCTTTTCAAATCCTTTTGAGGAGTGAAAACAAAACACCAGTTCATATTTCAATAAGTTGCCCTTCCATGTTATTCAGGGAAGGAAGCGGGGAAACAGAAATATTTCACTTATTTTGGGAGAAGCAAAATGAGCCTGCGGAGTTTCAGTTCAGGTATGTGTGTGTGTGTGTGTGTGTGTGTGTGTGTGTGTGTGTATTTTCGGGGCGGAATATATCATATATATCATATATATATATCTTTTGGGGGGAAAAAGAAAGGAAAAGATAAAGGGGGAGAACAGGCTAGTTATCATTTTGGTAATTTCCATTTTTACATGTACATCTCTATAACCTCACATTATTGGATAAAAACATGCAGAGCCTTCTGGTGCTTGGCTCCCATGTCATGATTTTCATGGATAAATTTACCATCTCCCTGATTTCTTCTTTGGTCCCTATTTGATAATGCCATTACCGTCCCACACATATATTTTCCCTGTTTGTGCAAGCAAAAATCTGGTCCTAGAAATATGGAATTTTAATCCTAGGATTCAATAAAGAGCCCTAGCATTAAAAGACTTAACTCTTTTTCTGGGAACTGTAAAATGTTGGAAAAATATGTTAATCTCTGGTTCTTCTCCCTTTCCTTATGTAAAAGTGGATCTTGACCTCATAAGAAAGGGATCAGAATTCGCAGTGATAAATTACGAATAAACTGTGTTTATTCTTCTCTCTTTGGAAAACCTAGGATGAAATAAAAAAGCATTCTGGATTAGGGAAAGGATTTCTTAGCCTCCTGGCTGACCTGCCCTCCCATCCTCCCTCTTGTCTTCCCATCTAATCCCTGTGATTGAGAAACCTCTGTTTCTTACCAAATTCTCACGTTTGAATTCAGATCTTTTGGGTCATCTTTAAAGATTTCTTCTAAATTTTCCATTTTGAAACACTGTGCCTTGATTCTGAGGAAGGCCAAGGAGAATGGTTTTTCACACTGTTTCCAGTCTTTTTTCAGGAACAGAGAATTAGATTTCATTTTTTTTTTGGCAATGCGACTTCATAGGAAATATTATATTCATGCATCAGGATGCACAGAATATCTAATTATTTCTCTCTTTCTGATGTTAGCAATCATTGGTGTTCAAGACTTAGATACATTATTTCCTTATGAGTTGCAAAATGGGTTTAGATAAAATTAGAAAACATAGAAAAGTCTCTGAGATGTTTAAAATGCTATGCAAATATAAAATTACATCAATATTGAATTTTCCTATGAAGGAGGAGGAGGAGACCCACATAAGAGAGAAGTAAAAAGTAAATAGACAAAATTCCTCCAACCCTTATGGGTTGAGAATTCTTTGATAAAGAGGACAGCAATTGAAAGATAATTGGGCTTCTGAATAAAATGTACACCCATTTCCCTCCTATTCTTTTCTCAACCCCTTTTAAAGGATGCTGAAGACAAGAAGAAACACACAGTAGGGCTGAAAGTGAAAGGGGGTATGAGGTAAGAGTTCTCCACCATTACCCTCCACAGAAGATGGATTTTAGCAGTTATGAGAGTACCCTGGGGGGAGTTGGGAAGTCCAATGGGGAAGTTCTAGCCCACTGTTGGGAAAGAATCCAAGAATAGATGCACTGAAAAAGGTAAGAGGAATATTTTTACTTTGCCTTCATCACCGTTCCCTAAAGCAGCACATTTTTGGTGGCAGGAGAGACCCCCATGGCCTGCGGCTATTCCCATGGGGGAAAGTGAGAACATACTGAGTGCCCCATTAAAGTTGGGCTTGGTCATGTGACTTGCTTTAGCCAATAGAATGCAAATGAAAGTTATATACACCATATTTGAGGCAAAGCTTTTTTTTTTTTTATGTTTATTTATTTACTTTTGAGAGAGAGAGCTGGAGAGTGAGCAGGGGGAGGGGCAGAGAGAGAGGGAGACAGAGAATCCCAGGCAGGCTCTGCTCTGGGGTTCAAACGCATGAACTGCACCGTGAGATCATGACTTGAGCCCAAATCAGGAGTCCAATGCCCAACTGACTGAGCCCCCCGGGTGCCCCTGAGCCAAAGCTTTCTGAGCCATTGCTTGATTCAGCTCTTTCTCTTTCCCCTCTTCCATGAGAATAGTTTATCCTCATAACAATACTTTGAGATAGGGTCTGTTATTCCCATTTCTTTGTGAGGAATCCGAAGCAGAGTTGAGTCACAGCCCCAGTCATTCAGCTGGTGAGACAGGGATGGAGTCAGAATTTGACTCTAGGTAGTCTGGCCCCAGTGTCTAGATTTTAGCCACTGCACAATACTGCCTGTCACCAACACATTTTCTTACTCCAATCATTTTAGTCTCCTGTGAAGTCCATTTCTGATGGACTTTCTTAAGGACCAAGATAAACATTTCTTGCTTCCTCTCCAAAAATATTTATGCCTAACTAATCAATACTACTTACTTACCTCCGTCTAAACAAAGGCTTCCTAGACCAATGAACGAGTTTTTTTCCCTAAGATTTCCCGGAACATAAACTATTTTCAGTTATTCTCTGTTCGACTTTATATGCAATAGCCACAGCTGAACTATCTGCAGATGTTACACATCTGTATTCTTCACATTATTTAAAACAACATAACATTGCATGTAAGCATGTAATTGATATTTGATAAATGAATGATTGAACAAATGAGAGCTTGACCAGAAACATATTTATTCAACAAGCCTCTTTGATGTCTGTTTCACAGACACAAACGACTCCATTTCTTCCCAACAGAAGTATAGGACAGGGAATCCAACAAAACATGGAGCCTAAATACGGTCTTCAAACATTGCCATGCTCTGCATCTATGGAGGGAAGAGAAACATAGGAAGGTGGTGGGGTTTCCTCAGGAACATTCCCTCAGCTGAGCCTGGGCTAGAACAAGGGTTGGCACACTTTTGCTGTCAAAGGGCGTATGGTAAATATTTTGGATGTCGCAGGCCATGTGGCTTATGCCATAACTATTCAACATATGAAAACAGCTGTAGAAAATAATGCAATCAGCGTGGCTCCGTTCCAATAAAAACTTCATTTACAAAAATAGATGTTGGGCTAGATTTGGCAGGAGAATTAAATAGTTGTCCCTTGGGCTGAAGGGGATGGATTAGCTGTGATGTAAAATGTTGCCTGTCAGTGATAGCTATCCTACAAACAAACACGCAAACAAAACTTATTGACTTTACCGATAACGGTGTGGCTATCTGAAATTGGAGAGGCCACAGTTTTCTCTTTGTGTGAGCATGTGCCACGTGAACTGTCTTGGGTCTAGGAAAAGACTTGCAGAGAATTTTAAATTTAGAAGAAACTTTAGGGAGCATAGCTCATGCGGAATGAGGGTGGTCCTGGCGTGTGACCTCTTACCTGTGCTGCAGGGGGCGATGTACTCAGCAGTGGCAGACTCATCTGAAAGAATCGTTGGATGAAAGGAGACAAAAAACAAATCTATAAACGGGAGCCCATACTAAGTCTGTTCACTTTACTTTTGGAGACAAGTACATATCAGGATTGTCAAAACTCTACATAAATACACAAGTGTTGAACAGGATAGTTAAAATATCTATATTCGAACATTCACCTGTCATAAACTGCCTTTCCTCGTTACATTATCTTTTTATGTGGATTATGTTCTCTACGTCTCTAAAATATGTGACAGCAGTGTCCAGATATTATCTTTCTTCTTAAATTTCTAAGTTTCTGACTCAGTAGATAGTGATGAATTCGTTCCACTAATAGTTGCTACAATATGTATCTTAGAGCAAAGAGACAAACAGATGTAGTACTGACCGAATGGACTAAAACTAGGATCTGTTGTAACAACGGATTCTATTTCTTGGCTCTGGGTTGAGACTTATTTAGTTGTTTCAGTTTCTTCTCACTTACCTGGCTCATAGTAATCATAGACTTTTACAATCGCTGGCTTGAGGTCCCTTACTGGGATATCTTGAAGAACCGTGAAGGAAAAGCTGAGTGTCTGATTTGTTACCTAAAAGGACAAGTGGGAGTAATGAAGAGTCTGGAAAGTGTCCTTCCCTCTTCCTTGAGTAAATTAGATTCTTTCTTTGCTCTCTAACTCTCATGCACTGGTGTCTTTTAGGTGAGCAAACATTTATGGGTGACAAGATGGGATTTCACATGCAACTTTGGAAACACTTTACTGTGAACAAAATTCCCCAGATTTTCTCCTAAATAGCTGAGGCAATCTACATTCTCTGGTAGGCTTAGCTATGAGATTAACTCTCTGGGCCTATGTGAGTGTTTGCCAAGATGCAGAGACTTGGCTTCGTAACATCTGTAATTATCAAGCTATTCTTTTGGAGTGACTGGATAAGGCATTCCCTTTGCTTTATAGTCAGATTTGAAGATATTCATGAAGTCTACATTTTATTTTATCTTATAGAGGGATGTATCAGGATGTTTACACTATTATTAATCAACCACTATCGTACATTTATTCTTTGGGGGGAGGTCTTTGAAATAACAGGCACAATAACCCTTTTGTTCATTGATGTTCTACTTGCAATTTCATAGACATATTCATTTTCCAATTTGAACATAATTAAAGGGAGCAGAACACTCCGTGGGTCTAAAAGGAGATTTTTATTCTTTTAGAATAAAGGAACTTTCTGGAAAGGTGCAACTAATTACTGCTTACCTCATATCACTTATTTTCTTTTTTTTTTTTCTTTTTTTTTTTTTTTTTTCCCCAACGTTTATTTATTTTTGGGACAGAGAGAGACAGAGCATGAACGGGGGAGGGGCAGAGAGAGAGGGAGACACAGAATCGGAAACAGGCTCCAGGCTCTGAGCCATCAGCCCAGAGCCCGACGCGGGGCTCGAACTCACAGGACCGCGAGATCGTGACCTGGCTGAAGTCGGACGCTTAACCGACTGCGCCACCCAGGCGCCCCATATCACTTATTTTCTAATGAAGAGACCCACTGGAAAAGACCACCGTGGTGTATTGTCTCAGCCAAAATGTCAGAGCTCTTACCTGTTCCACATAAATGAGGACATGATTATTGCTGACTTCCGTCCTGCTCACATGACTAGATCTTTCGAGCTGAAGAAAATTAGAAAATTTAAAAAGTTAGCAAATGAGAGAAGATTGTAGTAAGGGACAAATGTCCAAATGATGTCAGGGATAGGATTCTTATAAGTCATTTTCATGATTAAATAGCCAGGGTACATTAAAGATGTAAAACATGGGGGGGGGGGG